GGGGCAGGAGGAGCTGGAGGGGGGCAGCTGGCTACAGAAGGCTGAGAAAAGGGCTGATCCCTACCCCTTCCGACTCGTCCCCCATCTCCAAGCAGAAGCAGACAAGGTGGAGAGAAGAGGCAGCCACATGCAGAGACAAGGCAGGAGAGAAGAGACAAGAAGAGAGACAAGAGAAGGGCAGGAAGGAAGAGAGGTTAGTGCTGCCAACTTGTCCATCTGTCCATCCAGGGCTGTCCTGAAGCCAAGGGACACAGACAAGACTCTTGTCCCCCGTTACCAAACCATGCAAGGCCACCAAGAGCCAGGGTGGCACGTGGGAGGGTCTGGCCAAGGGCAGGTTGGATGAGGCTTGGAGCAACCTGGGCTGGTGGGAGGTGTCCCTGCCCATGCAGGAGTGGGACTGGATGAGCTTTAAGGTCCCTTCCAAACCATTCCATGATTCTATGGGCCAGGTGAGGAGCCAGTGCTGCTGGGGTATCTGCTGGGTTGTGTAAGCAATGGAGAAAGCCCCAAAAACTCTTTTCCTTTGAGGATCCCAAACCACTGCCAGCACCAGGCAGAGGTTTTCATCCCTCCTCACCCCATGGCAACTTCTTGATTTGCAGTCCCAGGAGGGATGAGCTGTCACTTCCAGATCTCCTGGTGCAGGAGGTGTCTGGTTAAAGCCCCCCACAGGCTGGGAGTGGGGACCTCTTGGCCACACAGGGTGGTTTAATGGGTGTTAATGGGGTTTGTAGGTGAGTCCAGGTAGGAGTCACCACTGCAGCACAGCAGGGACAGCAGCAGCATCTACACAGACCTTGTGTCCCAAGAGGAAAGGCCCTCAGGAGCACCAACCTCCTGCCCCACTCCAGTGAATTGATGAGGACAAGACAAACCAGGGTGCAGACCCCTCTGGCTTCACCAGTAGCAGGAAAGGACCAGCCCAGATGTCTCCAGGCAGACAAGCCTGTCACAGGAGCTCCAGACAGAAGCCACCAGAAGCTAGCAACCATAATGCCACCAGGGCAGTGGGGAAGGAGCCCACGAGGCTGGGACATACCAGGCTGTCCAAGCCACCTCCCAGGAGGTCCACGGCGCCCATCTGCACGGCGGGGGCCATGGGGGGCCCGCTCACTGGTGGGCCCAGGTCCAGATTCAGCAGGTCACCCAGCAGGTCACCCTGGGTGGGGATGACAGCTGGTTGCTCCGTCCCCTGCACCCCTGGGGGGGCTGCATCTGGGCTCTCCGGGCTCTCAATCCTAGAGGGAATGGTGAGGGAAAGACAGGAGAGGCTGAGGAGCTTCAACCAAGGAGGGAGGTTGCACTGGAGACACACGTTCACCCAGGTGGGCTTTGCAGTGAGTGGTCAAGGAGATGCCCCATCCCAGCATGGCCCTCAATGCTGAGAGCAAGGCCAGAGGAGGCCACAGAGATGCTGGGAGGGCTGGAGCAGCTCTGCTCTGGAGACAGGCTGGGAGAGTTGGGGTGTTCAGCCTGGAGAAGAGAAGGCTCCAGGGAGACCTTAGAGCACCTTCCAGTGCCTGAAGGGGCTCCAGGAAAGCTGGGGAGGGACTTGGGACAAGGGCAGGGAGGGATGGGGTGAGGGGCTTTAAACTAGAGCAGGGTAGATTTGGGTGAGATCTGATGGAGAAATTCTTTGCTGTGAGGCTGGTGAGAGCCTGGCCCAGGCTTCCCAGGGAAGCTGTGGCTGCCCCATCCCTGGGGGTGTTGAAGGGCAGGTTGGATGGGGCTTGGAGCAACCTGGGCTGGTGGGAGGTGTCCCTGCCCATGCAGGGGGTTGGGACTGGATGATCTTTAAGGTCTCTTCCCACCCAAACCAGTCTGGGACTCTACACTTCTCACCCAGATCACCCCTCACTCCAGCCTGAGATGACTCCACACAATCCTGCTCCAACAGGAGCTGCAAACCCTGAGGGCACAGTGGGCTCTGCACAGTGCCATGAGTGGCCATGACAGCCCCACAGCCACTTGGCTCAGCATCTAACCCACCCATCCCATGGATCCAACCCTGGAATTCTCCACATGAGGTGAAGATTCAGCCCCGGGGGGGGTGGGGAGAAGGACCAGAGACACTCACGAGCCCGTTCGCGGGGGCAAACTCTTGTGCACCACCCCCCTGCTCCCCTCCACGAAGGCGCTGGGAGGTTTGTGGTAGACAGAGGCCAGTGTCCCAATGTAGCAGATCAGCTCGTCCAGGAGGGTGGGCTCAATCAGATCTGTCTCCTCTGAGATGAGGGGCTTCTCAGCCAGCACCACCTCCTTGGCAGCCACCGGATCCGTGGAGAGCAGGCGCCAGTAGATGTAGCCACGGTCCCGCAGGTCGGGGTTGTCCGAGTCCTTCAGAAAACAGGGGGGGGTTAGTGCCCCCCCAGCCCGTGGGCAGGGGCAGCTGCCAGGGTGACAAAGCAACTTGGAGCATCTCAGCCCCATCCAAGTCCTGCTGCAGCATCAGAGGGATCCCAGGGATGAAAGTTACAGGTGTTCGTGTCTCACTTGGACTGTGGAGGTGACACCGCTTCACTCCACCAGGGAAACCTGGGGGCTGGAGGAAAGGTGGGGAGGGACTTCTGACCAGGGCAGGGAGGGACATGGGATGAGGGAGCAAGGCTGGAGGAGGCCACAAAGATGCTCCAAGGGCTGGAGCAGCTCTGCTCTGGAGCCAGGCTCCAGGGAGACCTTAGAGCACCTTCCAGTGCCTGAAGGGGCTCCAGGAAAGCCGGGGAGGGACTTGGGACAAGGACAGGGACGGATGGGATGAGGGGGAAGGGATTAAAACTGGAAGAGGGAGATTGAAGTTGGACATGAGGAGGAAATTCTGGCGTATGAGGGTGGTGAGAGCCTGGCCCAGGTTGCCCAGGGAAGCTGTGGCTGCCCCATCCCTGGCAGTGTTGAAGGGCAGGTTGGATGGGGCTTGGAGCAGCCTGGGCTGCTGGGAGGTGTCCCTGCCCATGCAGGGGGGTGGGACTGGATGATCTTTAAGGTCCCTTCCCACCCAAACCATTCTGTGACTCTATGAAACAGCCCAAGGTGCCTCATGTGCTACACGAGATGCTGTCCCAGCTCTCCAGGACTTCAACTATTGGTGTTTCCAGAACTGAGCTCCAACTATTTGCCTCCTGATCTCTGGTTATCTGCACCACCCAGCCCTTCCCACTGCCTGGGGGGCTGGCAGAGCCCACAGGAAGCCCTACAAGTGCCATCACCCACCTGCGTGGCCAAGCTCAGCACCTGCTGCACCAGCTCCTGTGTCTCTGTGGGCTTCTTGAGGAACAGCTTCACGATGGCTGTCAGCAGCTGCAGCTGGACCTGCAGGGGACAAACAGCCTTAGGGACAGACAGACAGACCAACCACACCCTTTCTGTGCCACAGCATGTGAAGTTTCCCCCCAACGTGCTGCTGGGACCCACTCCCAACCTGCTTCTGAGGGGACCAAACACACGGTGACACCCTCAGTGACAGTGACAAGTGTCAGGGCACCTTGTGCAGCTCCCAGCCAGGTCTGCAGCCCCTTCCAACCCAACCACCAGCCCTCTGGAGCCACAGGGTAACACACAGGTCACTGGGAAAGATGTCAGGACTGGGTTATATGGACCCACCAGGATGAAGACCAGATCATCCTCTGCCTTTCATGAGGGCAAGCAGCAGCTGGGCACTTCCAGCAGTCCCTCTGGATGTCACACTGAAGAACCAGGGGTGCTGGCTTTGCTCTTTTGTATTTACAGCCTTTCCCCTCTTCACTGTGACTCACGCCCATGGTGTTTGGCAGAGGAGGTTGTAGGAAGTTCCCATAGATGGAAACCCCCCCAAAGTTCCAGAGGGAACCCCTGGCCTCAAGCCACCCTGGCAGAAGGAACAGGCACTTCCCTCTGCTCATTTCAACCATCTCGCTCCTCTTTCCAGCTCCAAAGGGGGCTGATCCTGTCCTGGCACCAGGCAACTACATGGTCCCTCCCAACTGTTGAGGAAGGAAGGTGCTAGGGACACCATGGTGGTGGCATTTCATGGCCTACCTCCTACATCCAAAGCCACCAGAGGACACCCCTGCCAGGAAAAACCCTTCAGGACCCCGCGAGAACAAATTGCTTCGTCACATTCCAATTAACACAGGCTTTGGTCAGAGGGTCACCCTTCCAGCAGCAGGTCTTGCTGGTGGCCAGACTCCCCTGCCCCATGGCAAGGTGGGGACTGTCCCCCTGTCCCAGCACACCTGGGTGCTCTCATCATGGAAGCCCTCCAGGAAGCTCTCCAGCAGCTCGTCGGCGTTGTCGATCCTCTCGGCGTATTCCCCCACGATCCAGATCATGGCAGCTCGGGCCTCAGGCTCATCCAGGGAGTCCAGGTTCTCACAGAGGGTGGCAATCACACTCTCATACCTGCCCAAGGAGAGGACACGTGGTCACCAAAAAAACCAAGAAACCCAAGTCCCAGCTCCACTCGAACTCCAAACCATGTCCCGTCACCCTCAGCAGAACCAGGACGTTGCTGAGGACACTGACAGGAGCCTCTGACACCTGCCTGGGGGGTGTCCCCTCTCCCCATGCTGGGAGGTGTCCCTGCCCATGCAGGGGGGTGGGACTGGATGATCTTTAAGGTCCCTTCCCACCCAAACCATTCTGTGACTCTATGAAACAGCCCAAGGTGCCTCATGTGCTACACGAGATGCTGTCCCAGCTCTCCAGGACTTCAACTATTGGTGTTTCCAGAACTGAGCTCCAACTATTTGCCTCCTGATCTCTGGTTATCTGCACCACCCAGCCCTTCCCACTGCCTGGGGGGCTGGCAGAGCCCACAGGAAGCCCTACAAGTGCCATCACTCACCTGCGTGGCCAAGCTCAGCACCTGCTGCACCAGCTCCTGTGTCTCTGTGGGCTTCTTGAGGAACAGCTTCACGATGGCTGTCAGCAGCTGCAGCTGGACCTGCAGGGGACAAACAGCCTTAGGGACAGACAGACAGACCAACCACACCCTTTCTGTGCCACAGCATGTGAAGTTTCCCCCCAACGTGCTGCTGGGACCCACTCCCAACCTGCTTCTGAGGGGACCAAACACACGGTGACACCCTCAGTGACAGTGACAAGTGTCAGGGCACGTTGTGCAGCTCCCAGCCAGGTCTGCAGCCCCTTCCAACCCAACCACCAGCCCTCTGGAGCCACAGGGTAACACACAGGTCACTGGGAAAGATGTCAGGACTGGGTTATATGGACCCACCAGGATGAAGACCAGATCATCCTCTGCCTTTCATGAGGGCAAGCAGCAGCTGGGCACTTCCAGCAGTCCCTCTGGATGTCACACTGAAGAACCAGGGGTGCTGGCTTTGCTCTTTTGTATTTACAGCCTTTCCCCTCTTCACTGTGACTCACGCCCATGGTGTTTGGCAGAGGAGGTTGTAGGAAGTTCCCATAGATGGAAACCCCCCCAAAGTTCCAGAGGGAACCCCTGGCCTCAAGCCACCCTGGCAGAAGGAACAGGCACTTCCCTCTGCTCATTTCAACCATCTCGCTCCTCTTTCCAGCTCCAAAGGGGGCTGATCCTGTCCTGGCACCAGGCAACTACATGGTCCCTCCCAACTGTTGAGGAAGGAAGGTGCTAGGGACACCATGGTGGTGGCATTTCATGGCCTACCTCCTACATCCAAAGCCACCAGAGGACAACCCTGCAAGGAAAAACCCTTCAGGGC